CATGTTAAACTTATATTAAAGTTTTTCTTCATTACCCATTTAAGCCGTCTCCAGCCATTATATGACGGCAACAATGTAATGTAATTGAACTGGGTACAGAGTATTGTTGAGTTGAGCACGTGAGATGTTCGTTGTGAATTATAGCGTTTGTTATAGCGCGACAGTGGAAATTAAGTGTATTGCAAAGTTGCATTCAAAAAGAATAAAACATTTTTATTTAAGAAAGGACTTGTGTCGCTAAAGTTTCGTCGGAACGAATTTACGGAAAATTAACTAACGAACGGAGGCGTAACAATATGAAAAGCCAATCCACACTTTGGGGCTGTGTGGGTTGTTGACTAACTACATTTTTGCTGTATTCTATCAATTCGAAATTACAGATGATATATTTTTTACTTGTTAGTTACACATGGGCTATCTGTGCTCTATTTACTGCGAGTATAGAAACCCGATTTTTAGTGTTATAAGCCCTCAGACTTACCGCTGAACCACCGAGGGACATATGGTCAGCTAACCTGTGGGTATCTTTGCGGAAAAGATCAGAAAACAAACCTATGTGCAACATGCCAATAGTAACGATATCTATATATATAAAAGAGGAAGTTTGTTTATTTGTTTATTTTGTACGCTATAAGAAACCAAACGGTTCAACTTACGATTTTTAAAATAACTTCATAATAACCAGTTTTTTTACAAGAAATTTAATGGTGCTATTTATTTTGTATTTGGTGTAATATTTAATGACGAAATTTACAATTAATGATTATTGCGCCATTTTATTTGTAATAAACATACAAACACAAGCACGTTTTGCACATAGAAAGCGTTATGGCGGGAGACACTCAGATCACCTTGCTGTCAATTCAGTATTTCCACAAACAGTTTTCTTGAAATAGTGCTAAGTGCTTTCATAACTGATTTAGTAACTTTGTGAATTGCAAATTATTGTTGAGTGATACAGGTGATTATGCCACCCAAGAAACCCCCTTTCTATGGAAAGTCTTCTGCCACTAAAAGAATGCAAGCACAAAGAGCAGCTGAAACAGAAGAAGAACGCAATCAAAGACTTCAAGCACAAGCTGCAAGACAGGCTGCTCAAATATAGGAAGATACTTTGGAACAACGTAAAGTTAGACTTCGAGTTCAAGCTGAAAGGCAGGCTACTCAAAGACACCAAGAAACTGTTGAACAGCACAAAGCCAGAGTTCAATCAGAATCATCAAGGCAAGGTGGATATAGACAACAAGAAACTTCTGAACAACGTCAAACTAGACTTCAAGCACAAAAATTAAAACAAATAACTTACAGAGAGCAAGAAACAGAGGAGCAACATGATGTACGACTTCAGGCTCAAAGAACAAGACAAGCTCAAACACGATCTAATTTCAAACAAAGATTTGTTTTTTTAAATGCTTTTTTATTTATCGCATCACAGGTTTTGTCTATTTACTGAATAGTTTGCTGAAAAAATACTAATCTATACATTTCAAATCTAACTTTTCACCGTGCAACGCCGGGTAACTCATCTAGTATATATATATAAATGTAATTTCAAAACGCGCAAAGATAAATTCATATTTAGTCATGAGTGGTATATAATATATATATATATATTAAAGACAGTAGCACAGTATATAAGGTAACGTTCCCTTTTTTGATTTACAGATGTAATGTAATGTAACATATTTGTGGATAGTGCACATTTGTTTATTATTCGGCATATAAATTCAGAATTTTGCTAGTGAATTTTTACAATATTCACACGATTAAAATGCTTTGTTATCCACAAGGCGTCTTCCGCCATTTTGTCAATAACCCAAAATTGTATAATCGTTTTTTTTCGTGCTTGCTAGTACGAATGTAACCTAGTTTCCATTTTCGAAGTAGAAAGTTTAGCTAAAGATACGCCATCTGATTAGCAGTTTTTGCTTTTTTATCGTTAAGTAATAGTCACTTTTAAGGAGAATATTTTGTATAAAACAACTTTACCAATTTACATATAAATGTAAGTGTTTATGTATATTTTGTGCCATCGACTTAATCGATTTGAAACTTTGAAGTTGAACGTTCTTAACATTAATTATATGTATAGAACTCAGAAATTGTTTATTACTGTTACTATGTTATTACTTAATATTCAGTTATTGTCGTCAGTCTGACAAAACAGTAGGGAATCTCTTGTTTTCAATAAGAAATAAATAATAAGATTTATAGTCTTGCACGAGTTTAGATTAAGAGTTAGGGCTAGTACTACTACTAGGTAGCTTACTGTTGTTATGTTAATAATTTTAATACAAAATTTAAATCAGCATTTATTTTATATTAAATAGCTAAGGTTAATTACTAAGCTAGTATAGTGTTGATGCATTACTTCATTACCTGGTGTAACAGTGGTAAGTTAAGGACTTGCAGCACCAGAATCTGGGGGTTCATTTCTCTGTGGTGGACACTGCAAATAGCCAAATATGTTTTGCTCTACAACAGCAACAGCATTACTCCACATTTGTATGCTAAAATTGAGAGTTTCATACTCGTATGTTCAAGTACTTAGTATTACAAAGTTAACTCAGTTTGGAACCACCACTCAACTTTAGGAACTTTTAAAAAGTCTATTCCGACATACAGAATTCTGTGACTGAGGCATGTGATACTGAAACACAGAATTATCAATTTAACCCCAACAACAAACAAAATAAAACTGAAAATTAGTACTTGCATATTTCTAATTATATATATCAAATAAGAGTACAAGGCAACACTGTTTACCTTATATTGTGTCCTCCACTCTTTTTATTTGTTGTGGAGGGTGATGGAGCAGGGAGCCAGCTGTGTGTTGGCTCATATAAGCTCCCTCTCTGTGTCTTTGAAGGTAGCATTTAAATGCACTTACACTGCTCACAGAAACTTCTTTAACCTATTCGTACATCCACTGCTATTTGAGAGAAAAAGAACTTTCTTAAATCCAATCTGGAGCTCTACTTATTTTATACTGGTGGCCTCCTCTAACTATAGAATTATTAAATATAAAGAAATCTGCAGCATTTAATCCTTCAAGGCCTCAAAATTTGAAAGACCTAAATTAAATCACTCCTTGAATGATGGGTTTGAAGTGTAGTGAGATGTAATTTCTGTAATCTCCTTTCATAAGAAAGATTATGATAATCTGTAACCATCTTAGATAATTTCCTCTGATTGAATAAAGCAACACAAAATGAAGACTGCAACAAAAAGAAGCACTGTGGGACATTGATTTAGGTGTTTCATGGATAAAACCGCTTTCTGTGATCTCATTAACTTTCGTCACAAAATATATAGAGGCTCTTAATTGACAATAATATAAGAGTGAAACATACTAAAATTAATGCTAATTAAAGACCCTCCCCTTTCAATCAGGGGAGTCGACAAATTATTTGAAATTACATTGAAACTCCAAGAGTGAAAAAGTATTAATAAACTTTCGTTTTTCCTTTGCACTTGAATTGTGTGGTATCTTGTGTTTTAATTAATGTGACTTTTATTCCTCTGAATATCTGAGGTAGATTGTATGTTTTGTAAATTGTGATAGTGTTGTAAATTTAGTTAAGATTTTTCCACAAAATAAAAAAGTTTTGTTTTCTACTTCTTGGCAACAAATTGTAGTATTTATCTCCAATATTGAGCCTAGACTTAATGAGTGTCCAGAAAAAGAAACTTTTATTCATGTAGAATATCATTGTAAGTGATTCAACAGGATTATTAAGAAACTATTTTTTGTTACACGATTTAAATAAATACAGGTAAAAATACAAATGTATTTTGAAGGGCATATCCAAAATGCTGAGTTTATATTTATCAAAAAACTAAAACTTTAAAAAAATTAAAATTATAAAGTTATGAACTTATTATACTTAAAATTTATTATTTTGAAAGTAAAATATATTTTAAGATTAATTCTCTGATTTCTCTGTAACATAATTTCTTTAAATATTTTCCTATTGGTAACTTCCATCATTATTCCAAACTTCGTTGACATTCACATTCCTGTCATGTTTTCATCCTTTGAGGAAGAGAACCATAATTTCTCAATATAGTTGTGGTTTTACATGTATTTATTTAATCAGTATAAGTAGTTTCTTCATGATGGATTCTCCTAGGTATGAAATGTTTTTTAAGTCGTTGATCATGATATTTTAGAGTAAATTGATGCTCTGCTAAACAGTTGTATGTGTTTGTAAAGGCTTATTTTTATTTGGAAATGTGAATATCTGAGTGTTGTTGAGTTGCAAACAGTAAAGTATTTTGTTTTTTGCACCAGATTCGCATATTTACTTTTTTTTAGGCTTTGCATCTGTAAACCTCTAACAAAACTTTAAAGCAAACTGTTTTGACATCAGTTGACTTAAACCTCTTTAACTAATGTAGCAATATAAAGTTCAATTCCTAAGCAAGTGAAAACATGAAATAATAGCCAGAATTTTTGGCTAGTATCTAAGCTTCTGGTGTATTATACAAAATCTGTTCGATGCTTCAAGAAACACTGAATATATATTACAGTGGAGAAATAGGGCTGTATGGATTTACATGTGGGTAAATTAAATAATTTTTGTCTTGAGAGTAGTAAGGTTACTCTAACAGTGTATGTAAAATTAAACTTTTTGAGCAATGGCATAGTAGAAGATGAGGTGTTTTGATTTGTGTGGTATTTTGCAACATTTGGGGTGTTAGAAAACTTGTATAAATGCCCATAATATCTTATAATTAAACTAATCATTTGAAATTAACTAATGGATCATTCAGTTGATTTTTTAAGTGTATAGGCCTAATACTAATTATTAAACATTTATTACAGATTTTTCAGTGGGACAGAGTGTAATAACTGTGGCATAGGAAATAATTTACTAGTTCTGTGCAAGAACAAAAGAGAAAGAAAAAAGTCTTAAGGCTATTTAGCCCTTAAGTGTTATGTAACTGAATCATGAAAACTCAATTAAGTGAAGCCCTTAATCCAATAAAATGTTTGAAAGAATTCAAACTAACAATACAAACCCCCATCACTTGTAATGTTTGTAACCGAAAAAATAAAAAATTCAAAGAAGACAATCTTATGTTCATTTGTTAGCCTGAAAATGAGTATGAAAAGTTTTTTTTATATAAACAAGATGTGGGAATTGTAATGAACATGCAAAACATAGTAAATTGCATAAACATTTTACATTATTACAATAAAAAAAAACATATTTATTGTAGGTAACAAATTAAAATGTTCATTTAAGTAACATTTTTATCAATCTTTTTGATACCAGGGAATGACACTGCTTTCCTAAACTGTTGCAAGTACAACAAAAAATTAAAATTTACATATAAATATTCTGTTAGATTTTGTTTGTTTTTGTGAACTTTCACAGACTAGCAAGGTGTCGCATTGAATCGGTGGTTGAAAAATGATGGCATAAATGATTAAATAAATGGAAGTAATGCTATTTAGCTAGGTTTTATTGATCTTAGAGTGTTAACCTGCAATGTAAGTATATCGGTTGGAGTTTTGTCTATTTATCAGTTATTATTCTGTATGTTATTCATGGCTGTAAGGAACAGTGGTGAGACTTGGCTTCACTAAGGGCCACACATACTTCAGTGTTTGATAGTATATATATATTACTCTTGCAACTTTTGTCTTTGACTACCTAGTTCAGGTTTTAAAGAAATATGAAATACTTAAGAAACAACAAATTGAAATCAGTATGTGTGTGTATGTAATAGTTAGGGGTCTTGACATGAGATTTAAATGCTATAGATCTCTAGCCATTACTGATACTTATGCCAACGTAAGTTCGTGTCCTTACTAATGGCATTGTTAGTTATAGTTCTTACCGATAGTTGAATATTATAAACATTAATGGAGAGTTATTAGTGGTGGTGGGATGGATAATAGTTGTAATTTGTACTAATGGTAGTGTCAGAAACTACTTTTTTGTTGTATATATAGTAATGTAAACTTATGGCTGTGTTGGGCTAAGGATTCTTCTATAATAGGTGTCTGTGGCTCGACATCAGTAAATTACAAACACAGAATAAAGGAATTAATAATACTATGTACACTAAACAGTCTTATATCTGACAAGTTGAGTGTGTTGGGGGAGAGTTATTAGTGGTGGTGGGTGAGTGACTAATAGTTGTAATTAGTACTGATGGTTGAGTGTGTTGGAGGAGAGTTATTAGTGGTGGTAGGTGAGTGAGTGATAATTGTAATTAGTACCAATGGTTGAGTGTGTTGGAGGAGAGTTAGTGGTAGTAGTGATGTAAATGATAGTTGAGTAAGTGTTGATGGAGGGTTAGTTGTAATTATTATTAATTATTAGTTGTTATTGCTCTTGCTGATTGTTGAGTAAGTGTTGTTAATGTTGATGAAGTAGTTGTTGTAATTATTAGTAAGTTAGTTGTAGCTCTTGTTATTGGTTGAGTCAGTGTTGTTGATGGAGTAGCAGTTGTAATTATTGTCAAATGTTAGTTGAAGTTCTTGCTGGTGATTAAGTGTTGTTAATGTTGATGGAGTGATAGCTGTAAGCAGCAGTTCTAGCTCTTGCAAGGTTCTGCCCAGGAATGTATAAGTGCCATGTAATTCTTGTGGTCAGCACCAAAGACATGAAGTCATACTTGATGGATCAGGAGTTTTGCGGAATCAAACCTTGTTTGTGGACTATTTGTATGCAGACAGTCACATTTGATAATTTTTAGTAATGTATGAGTGCTGGGCACTCTTTACCCTAAGTACTTCCAAATCTCACTTGTCACCACCCACAAGAGTAAATAGTGTGACAGTAGCATGTACATAATTTGTACTTTTTTCATTTCAGTGTTTGTAGTTTGAAATATTTACATTTTATTATTGTTTCAAATAAGTGTCTTATTGTTTTAAAATGTTTTTTTTTTCAGATGCCTCGTTCACGAAGACGCCGTCGTTCTCGATCAGTTAGCTTTGATTCCCAGACCAGTTCAAGTAGTTATCGTCATAAACATCGAAGGCTGTCATCAGAAAGCCATGGTCGTCATCACTACCATTCTAGACAATCTAGAAGGTAAGGTGTCTTGATTTTTAAGTTTTTTTCTCCTTATGCATCTTCAAAGCTATATTATAATTTTTGTATTTGTTTTCATTTAACCACATTATAAATATTGATACTCGTGTGTTTTAAAAGTGTTTTGCTTATAGTCTGTATCAGAAACTGTGATAAATTTTATTTTTGTTGTTCAAAATTTTAAATTAAGTAAGCTTTTAATAAATTTTTGATTTAATGAATGCCCCAGTGTTTGAAGAGAGAAAATCTGTTAAGTATTATTTAATTGGAAACAGTTGAAATAGTGTAGATTTATTTCCACAATAGTTCAGAACATACAAGTGTGATGGATAGTGAATGTTAGATGAATCTTTGGCATGATAGTATCACTTCATCTGAACATATTTCATGTAATCTTAGTGAAAAGTAGGCTAACAGCCTGAATAACGAGTTCGATATAAACAGGGACTCAAGTTTAGCTTGTGTTTGTGAACTTCATGTGAATATATTAATGTGAACTAAACAAAACTTTGACTAGGTTATAATTGTAGATCATTTACAAAATTAGGGTCAGGTGGGTTATTGTAAAACTTTATAACAGTTACATTGAAGATTTTTCGCCAGTTGATGAACAATCAAGAAAGTGTTGACAGCATGTTTGTAAATTTCAACTTTTTGTGAGTGCTATTTACTCAAAATTCTTGCTAAGTGATATTAGTAGTTTCTGAGCAAGACATTTATTATGTTTTTGATATATTTTATTAATAGTATCTAGGCGACATACTGAGATATAAAGTTGTTAAAAGTTTGTACCAGTTAGTGAATGTCTAGGTGACACACTGTGACAGTATGAAGTTATGTTATTAAAAGTTTGTGTCAGTTAGTGAGTGTATAGGTGACACACTGTGACAGTATGAAGTTATGTTATTAAAAGTTTGTGTCAGTTAGTGAGTGTATAGGTGACACACTGTGACAGTATGAAGTTATGTTATTAAAAGTTTGTGTCAGTTAGTGAGTGTATAGGTGACGCACTGTGACAGTATGAAATTATGTTATTAAAAGTTTGTGTCAGTTAGTGAGTGTATAGGTGACACACTGTGACAGTATAAAGTTATGTTATTAAAAGTTTGTGTCAGTTGATGAGTGTATAGGTGACACACTGTGACAGTATGAAGTTATTGTATTAAAAGTTTGTACCAGTTAATGAGTAAGTTACATGAATTTAGTCAGTTAATGTGACAGATCTGAATAGTATGAAAGTAATTCAAAGTTTGATATAGTTAATGATAAAGTAGTGCATGTATCGTTCTTTGTTTTTTCATAGTGATTGTCAGATCTGTCTGCAGTAACTTGCATTCAGGCAGCATTTAGATGGTGTCATGTATTTAGCAGCTATTATTACATTTTTGCCAAAGAAAACTGTCTATAACTCTTTTGAACCAGTGATGACTCATTAGAGTTTGATTTAACTTTTTTTTTTTCAGTGGTTGTTATGACATTTGTAAAAAAGAAACACATTTTTTTGTAAACCATGTGTTAAAATATATATGTGATAAACATCTGGATAAAAATAACACGATTTTACTAAACACAAAAGAGTTGAACACAAAGGTGCTGTTTAACAGCTTCAAAAATAAGTTGAATTTAAAGAAATCTAGATAACTATAAATGAAAATAAACACAGATTTAACACAAGTGAAACACTTCATCAAAATGCACAAAGCCTAATAAGTTTGGGAGAGTTGCATCTGTCAAATATACACTTATTTTGTTGCTTATTTCACATAAGAATACAATGTTTTCAGAGTTTGTAAGAAAAAGTTAACCTCTAAGACCTAACAAAATAATTATTAATTTCAGCTTTAAATATATTTTTGTACATTTTCAGTAAATTTTAACTTCCCATATTTGTTTTTTATATTAGTAACAAAGTATTGCATTGTTCTAATTTCTAATGCTTATGTCTTCAGTGAGACTCAAATCAGTAGGAAACATTAATGACTTAACACAGCTTTGTTAGCCTTATTGTAAGTTTTACATTAACATATTTGAATTTCATTGTGCATTGTAATTGTAGTCTGATGATGGTAGGTATCCTGCCATGAAACATTATCTACTTATAGATCTGTTTATTACTTTTTACTATAATTTGTAGCTGCAGTAAGTTTTTTGATGACAATGTCATAAGTCATGTTGACTTTATAAATTATATTGTATCATTCACATCAGTTCAAATTATTTAATTGGTTTATATGGAGTTTTCAGTTATGAAACTAACAAATAGTTTGGAGTAACCAATATGATGGAGATAAATCATTCTCAAGCAAACACATTCCAATTACAGCAACAAGGTTGAGTTAAGTTAGCAGTAACATGAAAGATCACTTCAAGAGGTTTTCCTGGAACATAATTTTTGGAACTTTGGCTTGTATTTCTTTTTTTTTGCTAAGTACAGAAAATTTACTGTTAACTCTAGAATTACTCAACAACTTTTGAAACCCACTTCTAAACTTTTTTATGTACCAAGTTGCTTATGGGTCCATGACTTTGTTGGTTACAAGATTCCTAGTAACATACAAGTCACACACAGAGAATGCCATCAGTAATTACCACTAGGGTCTTCTTTATATCTTGCACAGAAAAATTACTTAATTACTCAATAGGATGCATAATTGGGAACTGTTGTGACATCATAAGATTTATTTTGTAACTTTGTTGTGTTCAATTTAGGCTTGTAATAATCTTATCTAAACAAAAATTTTGTGTTTATCAGAGATTTAAAGGGTATGTGTTATCATGTAAGATTGTTCAAACCCTAAGTTTATTAGTTTTTATTTACAGTGATCACTACTGCAGAGCACCAGAAAGTGACAGCAGCTATCGTGAGTATAGTTCAAACAGACAGGTTCACCATGCTAGTCGAAAAGGCCACAATCGAAGCCGTTATCGTCGGAACAGTTGCTCATCCAGCTTTTCAGATAGTCATGGCTCCAGTTATCATAGTCACAGCTCGGGTAGTCGACAGCGACATCGTCGGAAACGTGCTGACCGTGATAGGAGTCGGCGTTACCGTCGGCGCACTCGTAGTCTCAGTTCACGCGTGAGTATTAACCTCAGTTAGCTGAAAATTGGAGCTTGTAATTTATTGTAATTCAGCTGTCTGTGGTAATTCAGATAATTTTTAAACATATTTCAAATATTTTAATATTTGAACATCTAAAAATTTTGTCTTTCTTTCATAATTTTTACTTTGCAAGTTTGATATATGAATAACTTTTTCTAAGTATTAGTTGAAATTTAATTTTCTTATCAAGATGGTCTTTGATTCAGCTGGTTTGTATTGTGTGGTAAATGTTAGTTGCTCCAGAGTTTTGGTCATCTAATAAATAACTAGTTTTATTTATTTCTAAAAACATATCTGCTAGGATACTGGTTATACATATTGTTAAAAGCAACTAACATTTAACCTGTAGTTTGATATTAGAAAAGTCATTCAGTGATTCTAATGCTCTGGCTTTATCTTGTATACTTTGTCAAAAAATATGATTTGAGTAATTCATTAATTCTTTACTTATTATAATGATCAGTTTCCACCTGGGTAATTATGATGAGTTTTAACATTTTCCTTACTGACATAATTTTGTACAAATTAACTTGAAAAGTATAGAAAATACTCATTGAAATGCATCATAACATCATTTCCTGTCTCTGAACGTTGTCTCTTAAGTGAGGGTAGAATTATTCATTTTCTTGTTTTCCAGACAGCATGGTGCAAGTCTGAGTTGGAAGAATCTTTCTTTTTCTTCTAGAAATTTAACTTAAGTTTATGTTTTGCTCTAGCTCCCTCCCCAACTCAGATACTATTGAAAAGACATTTAGAAACTTTGTGAGAATTTTCATTAATCTTTGCCAACCCAGTTTATTTTTCACTTTAGTAATTGTTAAAAATAATTAACATTTTTATATTTATGTGAAAAACTTCAAACATTATGATGTCTGGAAATTTTATGGAAGTCAATCATGCAGCTTAGCACCTGGACCCAAAATTAGCATAACTCATTGTATTTATGAATATATGTTTATATATTCTCTTCTACACAAGAGAAAACCTTAAAGTTGTTAGAGGTGATGTTAGTGAGTATACTTTTAGAACTATATAGAGAGGTATTAACTTTTGAATAAAACAATTCTGTAGGTGAAAATATTTGTTTATAAATTACACAAGCAAATTTTGATCAACATAGCTTGCAAATCAGTTGATTTTTTTTTTAGTCTTGGAACAAAGTATTATAGTTTTTACAGGAATCTGAGTATAATTATAATAACTGATTTATTTGTACATTGAGTGTTAAGATTCCTGAGATATCCAAGAGTTTTTACCACCTTTAGTTGTCACAGTAGTTACTAAGGCTAGTAGGTAATTTAATAACTAAGCATTTATTCTTTTCTTGTGAAACCTCTTTGTTCATGAAGATAAGTGTTATTAACACTTCTTGTTTCACTCTGTCCCTGTTTGTAGTGATGTTAATATAGTCAAGTGTTAGTAGTTTCATATGCCAGCATTAAGAATCACTGCATGATAAAGTAGGTCACAACTAGAAGGGGTAAGTTTGTTTCTGTGGAGATCTAGATTAAGTTTGTATTGACTTGATGATGCGGTAACATTGCTGGCTATCTCCTTGCCTGTCTTGTTCACACGACCATGCCTCCCTTGTTTATATTATTTGCCATGTGGGTGCCAACAATGAAAATTCCCGCACTGGGTATGACTCGTGCTTCTTCCTCTTCAATGAAATGTACCGACATGTGTGGGCTGACTGACTCATCACCGATGTGGTGGATCAATTTGGGTGTGGTGGATTTGGATTGGCGGGTTGGCTGGCTGATGTGGATCACGTGCTGTTTGGCGGGTTTTAATTGGCTAGTCTCCCCAGGAGCACAATTCCAGGCCACCCAGCGCTGAGGACGACAAGGACGGCCATCTGGTTTATCACCATGGAGACATTCTACAAGATCGATGTACTCGTCATTTCGTAACATCTCCACTTAAGTTTTAATTCATTCTACTTTTTTACTGACCATCTTGTCCTCTTTCTGTTGAGATAAAGTAACATTATTTGTATAAGATTCTCTCAGAGGGAGGATAAGTGGTATTTTATCTATATTTTTTTTGTGTGTTTTTTGCCCTGATGAATTCCTGGTAACTGTGATACTCCAAAATTAATGTCCCTAGAACATCTAATTTGAAACAAAATTATATAATCTGTGGAAATATTAGTCGTGTTTTTAACAGACTTCTTTAAAATTTCATCTTGTTTTTAGACTTCATTCATCAATTGAAAGGTTATTTGGAGATTCGAAATACAAAGAAAACTTATTGAGTCATAAAGCTTGAGACATTTTTAGCCCATGTTAATGTCTTATTTTACTGTTACGGGGTATATAAAAAAATTAGCATCCTTATATCTCTCTATATTCAAAATTATCTATGCTTCTTTATTTTAGTGACCATGTAATAAAATATTTGAGATTTGAAATTTTGCGTGTTTTTAAAGAACCCAGTTTCTTGTGCTTAAAACGTTACTTTTAAATTCCGTATATATATATATATGTTTTACTGGTAAGACTATAAACCAAATGATACTACCTATGCCATCTATTGTGCTTTAGTCTTGATGGTGTTATTTTCCAGATAAAATCCTCTCTACTTTGGGGGAGGGGACATTTGGAAAAGTTGTTAAAGTTATTGACCTAAAACAGTAAGTTTTCATTTTTTTATTAAATGTTAAATTCCACTTAAAATAGGTGGTGATAATGAGCTGTTATTTAAAACTTTTAGAAATGTACTATTTTTCTTAAGGATACATAATAGAAATTTTGAAAATCCAATCCAAGGCTTTAGATCCATTACAGTAGAAAATAGAAGTGTAATTTTATACATTTCTGTGTTTGTAGTGTTAATGTTAAGGGAAGAAGGGAATTCAGAAATTTTGTCCAATTATTGAAAATTACTAAAATTTTATAAATAAATTTTGAAACAGTAGTGTCATTAATGGTGCTTTCTTTTTTTTGTCTTTTGTAATAGACTATTGTAAACAGATTTTAGTACATTGTGGTAAATATTTTAACAAAAGAGTGTTTGGTTATTAATTAGAATTAAAGAGGTAAATATAAGTTCCGATATGATTTATTACCACCTCTCACAAAAAGCTTTCTCTATTAGTACTGCCCTCTATCAGTGCACATTTTTTGCTAGCCACTAGCCATGTAACTCCCGCTTCTTTCTGCATATCTACATGTAAATGATCATGCAGCAATAGGAGTGTGACACTACCCCTATATAGATAAATCTAAATTACTTTTTTTCTTATTAGAATGATTGCAGATTGTAACAGAAAATTACACTTATATGTCCTAAATGGTTTAAGGCTTATAACGAAAAGCTTACATTTGCCTGTATACAATTTTATTGTTTTATTGCCATTTGAACCATGTCTAACTAACAATTTTGCAGTACAAGCTGTATATCACATGGAGAATTTGTAGCTCAATTTACTGTATTGAATAACGTAACACATGATCTACTCATGAGCATACCTTGTAGAGAAATTTTTTATCATTTTTATTATATAACTGAATCTAATCTAATAAGTTCTGTAAGTTTTACAATTTATTGCTTACCTTTGGCATCTTGTTTTTTTTATTTTGGCTCGCTGATGAAACTTAAGCCTACTTGTTTTTGTAATGATAGTAATAGTACATCAAATGTTTTTTAAAATTCAAATATTCACTTAAGAGCACAAAATAATAACACACACAAAACAAGCAATGTTCCAAAACATACATACATACATCTCACACTACAGTTATTACACAACTGCCAGGGTTGCCCATCTAAGCATTGGTCTGATTTCTTCTTACCTGCTCCAGTCTTTTATACCCCACTTAATTGTCCATGTTATCTAGTTGATTTTCATTTAAAAAAAAGAGATTAAAAATATTTTTTGATTGGCAAGTCAGTTTATAGTATGAATTCCTGGAATATTATTTTCGGCACAGATGCAAATCAGGTCTATCCTATCCCATCTCTGAAATCTAATCTCTAATTCCAACCATGAGCAGTGAAATCTTGGCTTTCTGGTTGGGGCCTGGCTGCTAGTGAGGATAAATCATGTAAAGTTCCACCCACAATAAATTAATTAAGTTCTGGGTGAAGAGCATACCTGTTCTGGATGTAGTGTGGTTTCCCCACTAGGGTGCCACTCTTATCTTGGTACACTGATGTTCTATGCAGACACATTCTCTATGGATAATGCCCTCACTGGCCTCTCCACCTTATCAATGTGGGATTCTTGCTGTGAGTGGAGATAAGTATGTTTTGAAAGTTAACATTTTCTTAAATCAAAAATGTATTTCCAATAATACTTACCTCCTTTCACACTCTCCCACCCTTCCTCCCCACTAAGAGCTGGTATTAGAGACTGGGGATTGAGTCAGTCTCAAAAAAGTGATAACATTATCTGAATCAGGTGCTTATATACAGTACCAGGATAGAGGGCTCAGTGACGTAGGTGAAGAATATCACGAGACAGATATTGACAAAGGCAGTTAAGTTAGGTATAAAAGACTGGAGCAAGTGAGAAAAAATCAGACCAATGCTTAGATGGGCAAAGGAAGAAACCCTGGTAGTCGAGTAATGGCTGTAAGTGCGAGTGGAAGTTAGTATTATTGGAAATACATTTTCGATTTTACAAAATATTAACTTTTCTCTCTCATTTATTTCAATTGTTTGTAACATTTTTATACACATTTACTTGTTGTAGTGTCATGCAACCTTCAAAACAGAACATTTTTATTCACAGATATACTGTTCAATTACAGATG